CATAAGCTGCGAAGTACGGCTGGCGCGTGCAACAGGACTGCACATGCTGCGTAGGTTTCCAGCAAACTCAAGAGCTCTCTATACATCAGGCGGCTCATGGATTTCTGCACTCCTCCTTGAAGCGACCGGTAGGGCTGCTTCAGTAGATTCGATTGCCGCCGTTCTCAATGCAGCACCTGCAGAGAGTAACCCTTTTAACATTTCCTGCATTCCGGAGACCCCAGCATTCTCGAAATACATGCAGATGATCTCTCCCTGGAACCTGGTAAAAGGGTCCGGCTATGACTTCTCGTTGAGGTAGAGGAGGAGGTTCAACCCTGGTGAATGCCGGCTCGTAGTCGGCTTGGGTGGCTTGGTCTCTCGTGGCCTTTGGCCTCGGCTGCTTATTTCTTCCGGGAGCTAACGAGGAGCTGGAAGACGAGGGCTCATCAGTGGTAGCGACAGGTTCCGCCTCTTGTGGAAACCTTGGTGTCGGGGAAGTGCCCAGCGGCATAGCACTGTCAAACTTTTCCTTCAAGTCACACAGCCTTTCCGCTTGCTCGGTGGTGAGGTCCTTTGGGTCGACTGACAGAAGCAGCTGTACCTCCTTCAGTTCGGCTCTAGTTATCTTTCCAGATGCCGACCCGGTAGCTGCAGCCCGAAGTGCTTTCACCTTGACACTCCTTCCATTCCAGCAGTGTTTTGCTCCTTCCCAAAGACCAATAATAGCTATTCCCAGGATGATCACCGCAAGGTAGAGATCCCACGGGATTTCCGTTCTTATATCATCCTTCTGGGCCGCCGAGCCGCATAGCTGGCAAAGGAGAAGGAGTCGACGTAGCCAGGGATCCGCTTCATCCTGCTTCCTGACCGCCTTTGCTTCAACTGTAGGCCTCCTGTCGATTATACTCCACATGGCCACCAACTGACGAAGCCGTTCACGAGTGAACGGCTTAGTACCTAAGTCTGCTCTTTGAAATTCTCCCGAAACATGTTTGATGGCCAGCTCATTGTTTTTGGTCATCTCACGCACCCAGTTACTACGTAGGCGCAAGTGCCGGGTGCGCCAGCTCCCCGACGACGTGGTGAGCAAAGCCACTGCGGCCAGGTTGTCTACCCAGACCACTAGTGGTAATTCTCTGCCCAACAGCTCGGTCAGCAGTCCCCTGGTTGAGAGCCCAAGCAAAGTGCCCTCCACTGTTTCCAGAAGTTCTGATTCTGCTGTCGACAACGTGACTAGTTGTTGTCTACCAGCCCGCCATACTATTGGAGACCGTCCGTAGAAGACTGCCGCCGCACCTTGTGACCTTCCTCCGCTTGGAGCGAAGGAGGAGTCAGTGTAGATGTCGAGCTGCGTAGCAATCTCTTCCGAGTCCTGCGTGAAGGCCAAGCGGTAGTGCTTTGTTTCATTCAAATAATCGAGGAGCCGGCTTCCCACCTTGTTCACCATTTCTGGGCATCGGGTAATCCTTGCCGCCATGATCGAAACTGTATGCTGTAGATCTGGGCGTGTCCGGCCCATGAGCCAAAGTAACTCTCCCACTCTGCGCTGAGCTTCTTTAACTTGAGGATTCTTTGGATTAACGGTGGACGGCTGGGCATCAATGAGGGCTCGCTCCTCCTCATCGCTCAAAATGAGCGTTTCCCGTGGTCCTTGGCTTTGAGAACGCCCTCCTTGATGGCCATGGGACCTCAGGATCTCATTGATGAAGCCTTCCTGAGCCAGCTCTACTCCTCCTGGAACTCGGTGCATTTCCATGCCCAGAAACCTTATGGGGTGGTTATAGTCCAGGACATCCAATGCATCCACCTCCCACTTGGCAGAAACCCAGTCAAAGAAACTTCTCATGGCACCTTCCTCGGCATGGATGAGCAGGTCATCTATGTAGACAACGACGTAGCCGTAGACCTTGCCGTCGCCCCCATCAGCCACAATCTTCGACACCTGGTTATCCGACACCATCTGCTGGAGCCTCATTGTAGTTGGAACCCCATCTACATCCATTTCCCACCTTGCCAGCTTGAGTTGCTCATCACGAAATCGTGACCATAGGGCAGGTGATTCCCTCAGGCCGTAGATAGCCTGTTCCACAAACCAAACCTGTCCTTGCGAAGCCAGACCGAGCTCGTAAGCTATCGCTGGCGGTTCCAACGCAACTGGTTGTCGCAACCACTTGGCCAGGACGAAGGCTTGTCGCACATCTGTAGTTCCGATCTTCCATGGTTTCCGTGCGTTGGCTGCCAGGAGTGTCCTCAAACTTGTTGCGTCAACACCTGCGGCAAAGAGGTCGAAGTTGCTGTCGTCCTCCGGGATGTGATTTCCACAGGCGACAAATCGGGGTTTCCGACGAAATCCTTCTCCTTCTTTGTCCGGTTTAACTGTGTACACTCCCTTGCATGGAACAATCCTGCAGCCCGGGGGAAGTTCATCTCTCCTTTTCACAGAGAATGCTTTCTTGGACTCTTTGAGGTTCTTGAACTCCTTGAATGCCGAAGGCTTCCATGCCTCCAAGTTGTTTCGAACATCACTAAGACTCACGTTGTGGGTCACCTCCAGCGATTTCCCGCTCTCCTTGACATCATCCAGTAGGCCTTCTCTGTTTTTTGTATACTGCACTTCCGCTTTCTTCACTATCTTCATCATTGTCGCTGTTGCACCATTGTGGGCAGCTTCGGCATGATCACGAAGGGGAGGCAGTTCTCCAGGCACTTGCTGATGTAGGAAGTCATAGTCATCCTCCTCTACGAAAGCACACCCTTCAACAGGCCTTGGTTCTTGTCTAATCATCTTTATCTTTGGAGAGGGGAAGGCTGATAGGCCTTCATCCACATAGTCCTCGTCATCCGGATTCTCCACAACTTCTGTTAAGGCCCGATGGTCCACGTTGAAACCCATGTCTTCAAGGAACTCAACATTGTCCATGTGGAGCTTAGTGGCCCGGGGAGTGTAGAGGAGCAGTACCAGTCTTTCTCCAATCCACGGCTGGACTTCATGCCATTTTCGAGGTGAAAAACTAATAGGCTTGCCCTTCTCCATTTCAATGAGTCGACCCTTCACCTTCTTCCCACTGGGAAGTTCCTTTTCAACTCCATCAAGCTCATCCACTTCATTGTCCTGGACCCATAATGCACCCTTCTCGAAGTCCTGGAGGGGTAACACATGGTTTCTCGATAGACTGTAGTTGTGTAGGTCACGGTGAAGGCCGAGCTGCGCATTCATTGCCAATCCCAGGGCTGAGAACTCCACTTCTCCACAGTAGTGCTTGGCCAGGTTTACAAGGAACTTGGTGGTATAGGGAAACTCCTTCATGTTGGTTCTTGTCCCTGCAACGCCTCCATGTACATACGCACCTGTGTACCACGATGCAACCGTGGATTTTCTTCCCAATCTCCGGTCAGTGTCACCGAGCATTTCCAACAACTTGTAGAGCGACACAGCCTCATCCAAGCTGTAGTTCCTTTCCTCGTTCAGCTTCCTGGCCTTGAACTCAATCTCATTCTTGAGGTCCTCCTTTGTGGGTGGTTCACTTGATGAAAGTAGTTCCTCTGGGAGGCCTTCTGCTACAACTGGGGAAAGAAGCCCTTGCAGTTCACGATGGGGATCGGTAACACCAAACTTCACGCTCTTCGCCACGGTGAGTCCACCATCCTCTCTGACAATCAGATGGCCTCGTTTCACATCCTCAGCTGGTCCTCGATACCATCCTCTTTTCCAACGAGATCCCGCGGCGTCGTGCTTCTTCTCCCCCTTGCCTTGGTAGGCTTTCGACCGAAACCATATCTCATTCCCAAAGGCAGTAGCTGGTGGCGCCGCCCAGGAGCTATCAGGAAACACCTTCGCCCGCAACGAAGAGGAGGCATGCTGGATCGCCATTGGCCAATCTCGTGATGGGGCTTTTGCCGCAGAAAGAAGAGCACGCACTCGAGCTTTTGCCCATTTTATCCCTAGCTCAGCGGAGCTGTTTCCAGCTGGATCGCCTCCAGCGGTCTTGGTGTGTCGAAGCTGGGAATCAACGGTCCATTCCTTGAAGGCCTTCGCCTTGAATTCGCGAGCACGGTCCGTGTGGACCATGCCCACGTGTAGTCCAGTCTGTCTCAACTGAAGCAAGATTTCCTTGGCAGCCTGAAGCACGAACTGAGTGGTTCTTCCTCTCAAAGGACGGGTGATGAATACAGTAGCCCATTCTTCTTGATGAGATAAGCCTTCCACTGCATCATCCAAGATCTCGGGGCCCTCACGCGGCCGCTCTTCCACTTCCTCCTCCGCCTCGTGCTCCGAAGGCCCTTCAACATGGTGTGGGGCAGCAACCAATCCCATTGGGTCGTCATCCACCTCAACCTCATCGTCGTCGGGCACGTAGTAGTCCTTGTCCAAGCTCTCGACCGCCTTTTCGCTCATGTACTCCCTCGGACATCTGTAGGCGGCGACCATGATGTATCGGTAGTCGTCATGATTCATGTCGCGCCCCTTTTGCTTAAAGGGACCAGCTAGGTCCAGGGCCATGGAATACATGGACGGATGGGCACGCCGCCGATGCTGGTACCCAGTCGCCTGCGCGTTTATACATATCGAGCAGTCCGCTCGATATGGTTGATGACCATTCATCAAGTGACGATGCCAGGACTCTCGCTGCTCCTTAGTGAGCTTGCTCACTTTCACTCCCGCTTTCTCCATTTCCTCCTCCTCACTCAAGTGGGCCGAGTGGTAATCCTTGACGGAGTCAGCCACGATTTCCTTAAAGGAGTACGACCATCTTCTCATTTCTGTAGCACTCAGGAGGGAGGAAGGAACGTAGCGATTGTAAACGTGGTAGTTCCTGTCTGCCTGAATAAGAGCGGGGTAGGTGGTGGCTATCGTTGTCGGTCTCTCGGCCTTATGTCCATAGGCTCCCATGTAGAAGGAAACTTCCTTGATCCCTGACACCGAACTGAAACCTTTCCACATAGCTGTTTTCCAGACCGATGCATCCACAGGCACCTCCTTTCGTAGGCGGTCCTTATCCGAAGGGAAATCCATGAGGAAGCCCACGTTGCGGTTACCTCCGATCTGGGAGAGAAGCCAAATCATCATTTGTTTACCCACCAGGGCCGTCTCGTTGTGAACTTGCTGACGTTGGAAGGCTGTGAGGTCCTTGATGCCATACGGCTCGTCGGTTGTCCGCACCGGATACGAATTTGGCCCTCGCGTTGGCGCAGATGAAGTTGGCCAGGTTTGATGCGGTGGACTTCCAAGTACATCAGAAATCCTTCAGTAGAGGCTGCCCACAACAACAGCTGATATACTCCCCCAACTCTGTTCATATCCCAAAGCTTCGAATTGGCGATGTCGACGTTTAAGACGATCTTGCCGCTGAGGGGGATTGTCTTGAAGGGGTCGTCCTGGTACTCACCGGAAAACAAATGCACAACCCAGTTCCTCGAGAGGATTAGTGCCCTGCGCTTTCGCCTGGTAAGATGAAGTGTCTTCAAGTACTGGAAGCCGTTCTCCGGGTCGAAGCCTTCCAGGAGTAGCGACTGCACATCCGAGGGGAGGTCCTTGGTGAAGGGCGAAGTCAGGATTGCCTTAAGCAGTGTGGGTCTTGCCCCTGTCCTCGTGTATTCTCGAAGTAGCTCATGCCAATCTCGACTCTCCTCCTTTTGGATGACTTCCAGCCTTGCCCTTAGGTTCTCAACTTGCACATTCAAAGCGGTGACCTGGTTCATCTCCAGCTCCCTTATCAAGTTGAGTGCATCCTCCGAGGCAACCTCCGGACAGTGGTTCTTGATTCTGACCTGGATGGGCTTCTTGCTGGGGTGTGTTAACCGAAGAGCTCGAGGACTCCAGTGCAGGGTGTATCCCAGCTTTTCTATTACCGCCCCGAGCGGTACGATGGGTTGTATCGGGGCCGTCTCCTCCTGAACAAGGATCGTCCCATGACTGTTCTGGCGTAGTATCCGCACATCCTCGCCCGCGAGAGTCACCCGAACTGGCTGTCCATCCTCGTACTCGCGCTCTTCCGCCGGTCTCATTGGGTGGCTTGCGCCGCTGTCCAGCAATCCCGTCTCCTCAGCTTCCTTAGCTTCCGCTTCCAAAACTCTCTTCATCAGGAGCTCTTCACTGTCGCTGACTTTGTTGTCATGAACACGGACCGCCTTCATTGATGTCGCCGACATAGCCTTCAGCATCTTTCCAACATCCGCCAACACCTCCTTCAGGTTGACTGCATCCTGTTCCGTTCCTGCGGTTGTGGTCGGTCTCGAGGGGATAGTCTCAACTTGAGGAGTTTCATCTATCCTTACAGTCTTGTTGGAAGTAGTGTTCGTGGTGGTAGAGGATGTTGTCGGCCTTTGTCCCTGTGGTCTCTGTCCCTGCGAAGTCGTAGTAGATGACGAGGACTCAGCTGCTGCTTGGGGCTTCTTGTTCGGGTAGTCCTTCGCGGAATGGTTCTTCCCCCCGCATGCCAGGCACCGGCCAATTTATTCCAAGCCATCCCAGGAGTGCAAGAGGGGACATCTCCCTGCTCGTGCACATCCTTTGAAGGTCCTCCCGAAAAACTTGCACGTCACGGGACTTTCGCCTTTTCTTCCGGGGTCCTGTCCACGTTCTCTGATTCCGACTTTTAGTCGTCGACTGTGAGGAAGCCCTTGAAGTTGGTGAGGTCGTCGGCGCAGCTGGAGTTGACGCAGAGGTAGGACTCCTGTCCGGCTTTAGAGGTCTAAGTCTTGGTTCAGGCTTTGTAGGAGTAGCGGTCGTTGCCAAGGTTGTGGTTGTCGTCATTGTCGCTGTGGCCACTGCAATCGTTTCACACTCTGCTAGAAGGTGGTGATAATACTTCTCCACTGTGTCATAGGAAGGAGCGGTGTCCGCCATGAGGTGTGATCTGACTAGGCTCGTTCGGAAGTTCGCCTCAGCCTCCTTCTCCAGGACCTTCTTGGTGATGGCTGTGAGGCCGCACGTCAACAACGATGGGTCTGGTGCCGCAACACCGAGTTCTCTACACCTTCGCAACCATCTGGACCACGATCTCAACGCCTTGACTGCGCCCTGAGCATCTGGTGCCTGCTCTGGGTGCTGAAGATTCTTCAAGATGGTGACCTTCTCCTGTTGGCCGCCCGGCTGGTAGATCGTGAGGAGCCTAAAGACCAGGGCCGTCACCGATCTCGTAGATCTCCGTTGGACCATCTCTTGCCTCACCGAGTCGGGGAGGGCCATCGTGACCATTGACGCTCCGCGCGAGTTCACGCGGCTCCACTTCCCAGACTCTAGCTCCTCGTCTCTTGGCGGGGATATGCTCAACTTCTCCACCGGAGTTGCCTGTGTCCAGGCCTTGTACGCATCATCGGCCAGTTGCCTCGCACGGTTCCACCAGTCAGCACTCCCATCAGACAAGTCCTGCATGGTGGTTGTTATGACCTCAAGCCAGTCCATTACGTCCACTGAGCTTGTCGCCGGGTTGAGTTCCGGTAGGACACGAAGAGCTGAGCTGCCTGGCTTCACCGCCTCAGGGCTTCGGTCGCCGTCCTTATCCTTCTCTTTCATCTGCTTGAGGATCACTGCTTGCAACTGGGCCATACCACCAGCCAACAATGCCATGGTGTCCGGGTTGTCCTTTCCACCTAGCCACTGGGCCGGAGTTCCTCCTGTGCTATTGACCTTCGGTCCCTCTCGTCCGATCCCTGTACTGCCTTCTGGCATAGGCCCCGAAGTCATACTGGGCTGTGGCTGTGCACTCTGCGAAACCCCATCAGAATTTCCCTAAAGCTGTTCGGTAACACTGCCTGGTACATTGTGCTGTTGCACTGAGGACTGAAGACTCCCTTGAGGTCCACGCGGATTTCCTGGAAGCTGATCAGGAGCACCTCTTGGT